GTTTTGTGGATATTATAGTAATTTCAGTGGTTAAGATCATGAGTCAGTTGAAGCTTCAAGAGGTATATCCTGGAGTTCTAGTGAGAAGTAGTGACCAGTGGAGTTCAACCAGGTTTGTTGTGAGATAGTAACTCACTGAGGACAATGGTGGATGTGTCGCTCAATTTCATGCATTCGTTGAAGTCAGACATTAACACCATTGGATACCAGCCGGTTCAGTGGTCTAGTGGTTAAGTGCTCGCGCTCGAAACCAGTAGGTTCTGGGCTCAAATCTCGCAGGAGGCGAGGCCGTGGATGCTCACTTCTGTGGAGTCCCACGATAGGATGAAACGGCCGTTCAGTGCTTCCAGGTTTTCCATAGTGGTCTAGCTTCAGCTGACTCATGATCTTAACCATTGATAATAAATACTTGATTATTGATGATACTAAATCTTTATCAAACAATACGAATATTTGATCAAATAATATGATTGGATGATTATCTTTGAATGTAATCTTTTCAACAATATAGAAAGTAAATTGTATGATTAGTAAAAAACATGTGATCATAACTTCTTAATACTATAATTTTTCTAAACAGTAGTAGTATCGTAAAGAAACTATTCATTTTAATGTTATTTAGGTTATGAATTATGAATATGATTTATACTTACTTACGCCTGTTACGCTCAGTGGAGCATAGACCGCCGACCAGCATTCTCTAACCCACCACGTCCTCGGCCTTCACTTCTAGTTCTATCAAATTGTTGTTCATTATCCTCATGTCTCTCTCCCTTTCTCGTCGTAATGTATTCTTTGATCGTCCTCTTCTCCTTTGACCTTGTGACGCAGTTGGGGGCTTTCCTCAATGTGTGTCCTATCTACACCCAGTGTTTCTTCCTGATTTATTCCTCTGCTGAGATCTGGTTTGTTCTCTTCCATAGTTGTTGTTGATAGTGTCTGGCCAACGGATCTGAAGTATTTTCGAAGAAAACTTTTAATAGATACTTGTATCTTCTAGATGATGGCTTTCATAGTTCTTCAACTTTCTGCAGCACACAGTAGAACTATCTTGAAATTTGTATTGATAATTCTGACCTTGTAGTTGGTTGACAGTTGTTTTGGGTTCCAGATGTTCTCCAATTGTAGATATGCTGATCTTGCTTTGCTGATCCACGCCCTGACATCTGCATTAGATCCACCGTGTTCATTAATGAGGCTGCCCAGATATGTAAATGTTTTTACATCGTCCAAAGCTCCTCTGTGAAGTGTGATTTGGTTGTTGCATGCTGTGTTGTATCAGAGAATCTTGCATTTCTCTTTGTGTATGTTGAGACCTACTGCTGAGGCTGCTGCTACACTGATCGTCTTCTCATACATTTGTTGTTGCGTATGCGATAGAAGAGCTATATCATTTGCGAAATCTAGATCGTCCAGCTTCATCCTAGATGTTCACTGTATCCTATGCTTACCCCCAGATGTTGAAGTCACCACTGAGCTGGCACCCAACAGTGTTAATGTCTAACTTCAATCGATCCATGATCTTGCGTAAACCTTCATCCATTGTTTGAGGTGGATAGCTGTCTCACATCTGACACGGACTGAAGTTCACTGATCATGGCTTCTCGTTAGAATTGCATAGAAACCATCTTGAAGCTAGTCACTAGTGAGCACATGATTATTTTTTGAACGGGAAGTCATGAATTCACCTAATAAAATACTAAAATCACAAACTCTCATGCTAATTATTAAGATTTAACAAGATTAAAAAATAATGTTCGTCAAAGTATTCGACTTTCAATTTGTCTAATTACAAGTTAGATCTCACTTAATCTAATTTAATTTGGACAACAGGACAATATCTTCGTTAGTGTTCTGGAAAAATGCTCTCTGGTTTTGTGGCAATAGATCAACAAAAAACGACAGTAAGCAGTGAATATAAAAAAGAAGCTGAAAAATCTGTCAAATTCAGTAATTTTCAGGCAAGCAAGTCAAAACACAGTGTTTAGCGCAAATGGACTGATGCAAACAGCTGACTTTCGTGTGAAGCAAGGGCTAGTTATGTTGTTTTTTGAAGTTCCCGTTCTTATTTCTGGAGTGAATAACTCTAACACACCCGATACTTATGTGAACTAGACATTGAATTTTGTGATATAATGATGCTATTTAACGTGTGATTTTTCTTCAAAGACAAACAGTATGTGTTATCTTTTACGTGTAGGTTTCCAAGGCTTTGAGATTGTGTGCGATGAAATTTGTGTGATACTTATGAGTGGCTAGGGCACTTGTACATTAATCAGCAATTATTTGCTAGTTTCTGATCAGTAATACGATCACCAAGCTAGATTATCGTAGCTACTAACCACACAGACTCATCATATAATCAGCCGGAGGGACAACATGTAGACATAAAAGGTGGATAAATGAGAAACTTTCAAGCTACTTTTAAGTTATCGAAAAAAACTTTTACTGCCACAAATCTGAAGTATTTTAAAAAAAATAAGACTGTTGTCGCCTCTGTTTTATGAAATAAAATTTATACGACCTAAGTTTGCAAATTTCCTAAACTGACTACTTATATTGTAACTAGATGAATGAAGCTAGATTGTTAATGACGATATGATTAATATGAAATGATTGGCTGATAGCAGTCAGGTGGTCACTTTTAATCAATCAAATATATCAACATGTCTCATTAAAAGTAAAAGTTTCTTTAAAAAAATAAGTGCTAAACCGCCTACATTTGATTTCTTTTGTCTTAGTTAGGTATTTTTGTTAGTAATAATGACAATTGGAATGGATTTTTTTTTAACAATTCGTTGTAGAATCTATATAAGGTCCTACATATGTTTTGAAGTTAGGCCATTATCATAATTATCCCACACATGCCCATTGTAAACGAGATTGTAAACTAATAAGTAATATAATTTATTAAGTTATGATAAAATCCAAAAGTAAGAATGTTTTCTTATGTTTACATAGTCAAAATAAAGAAATACGGATAGACAAGAACTTACTTGGCTGACTGTTCATGCATATTACTAATAATTTGAATAAATTCCATAATTTTGCAAATCATGTATAATTTAGAAGTATTATTCATGTCATTAATAATGATTTCTCTTTTAGTTTAAAATGGAAAAGTAATAACTTACAGTTTTAATTTTATCGCTAAAGAAGGAGTGAAAACACAAGTTGTAACGATGACCAAATCAGTCGTTTAATGGTACACAGTATTTTAATTGAAATATGATGTAGGTATTACAATATCTTGTTCGATTGATCTGGTACAAGTTATCAAAAAAACTGTGTATATTGTATTTACTGTTGTCGGTTCATCAAAGACATAAACATAACCCAATAATTGACTACGTGTAACGTCTAGGTATCATTATTTGCCTGTGAATGAATCGATATGGATACTAAATTTGTTTCGATTCATACTATAATTGATTTTCAATGTTATAGTAACTTGTATGATTGTTACACTTACTATTATAAACATTCAAATTTAAGGATGAAACTTATTAAAATGTAGCTTGGTGACTAGATAAAAACAACAATATTTAATTGAGTAGAACTATATGTTTATTCAAGCTTGCTTTTATTTAAAGCTGATGATGACAGAGGTAGTATGTTTTTGTTTATCGTTTATACCAAGTTTCCCTGAGATTTCAGTTAAAAAAAAGACATCACATTTTGTCTGAAGGCAGTTTGTATATTGTTCAAAAGTTGTATATGAGAAATCTGTATGAACGAATAAAGATAATTGAAGATATGTAAAATCATTAGTTTACAAAAGAATGTAATATCCGAAGATATCTCTGAGGATCTCAAACCTTTTATATATGAGTTGTGAAATATAGACATGAAACAAACTGAAGCACTCAATACACACATTAGTGTTTCATCATATATTACGGTATATTTACACAAATAAATATGCATATAAAAAAGATGAATAGATACTGTTTTATCCGCAGTCAATTTATCTTTTCATAGTTTTATATGATGTTTCCATTGTCATATTCACTTTAACTAAATTAATGAATGGAGTCGTGAATAGGTGTAGATACGCTAGATATAAAGGTAAATACAATACATTTTAACTACAAACAGTCTAAATAAATTCAATTAGATGTTTTTCCTCAGTTTCACAAAGTTTCTCTCTTTAACATTTAATAATATTAATTTGCTGTAGAAAATACAGCTAAATTCGGCGAGACTATAATTTATGGACGACACTTGAACGAATCTTAAATGATTCTGACAAATAATAGCCAATCATAAAACAGTTAGTAATAAAGTAAAAATATATAAAAAACCATAATATTAAAGTGGATACAATTTTTTAAATGGTTCAGAAAATTGTCAAGGTTAGAAAGAGGTTCGGATGTTCTGAAATCGTAATGGATACAGTAGAGGAACTCATCTATATAATAGTCGGCCTCTTGAGTCATGATAAGGTAGTAAAAACTCCTTCAGCCTCGACCACATAACTTCAATATTGTTAGTATGCACTCCGTTTGTAGGGCTCACAAAATGGCGCTTGTGGGTGACGACATGATGCACATAACCAAGTCTATGCGGGCATCTATACGCTCATCAATAATTTGTATATATTGTAGTGCCTGGTTGCCCATATTCCGGTATAATTGGTATTATTGTCGTTACCTGTCGGTTTTTGACCCTTTGGAAGTGTCCCTTTTGCATTGATTTATCGTGAATTCCAAAGACGTGTGAGGTATAGTTATGGAAGTGCTACTTACCAAGCTTTCTTTAATACTACGTCCTTCGTTAAATCTTCGCTTCCTGACTACTGTTTCGTCTATTAGTAGTCCCATTTGTTGTAGCCGCTCAATTATCACGTCTTCTCTAAAATCAGCATCAATTACTGAAATTGGCGCCATAACCTTAAAATCCCATTCACGCTTCTGATTGGCTTGTCCATAAATGATAGTCTCACCATTTCAAAAGCTTCAAATACAATTTCTAATATTTTTCTTTCTTTGTTTCTTTAGGACTCATCTATCAAAACATCAATAACTGATCCAAGAGATTATTTATCAACTAATAAACAAATTGAAATGAATAATAATAAAACTAATGAGAAAATGATCAGTTTTGTTAATCATCAAAAAAATCCATATATTAACTATAATATTAATTTAACTGAAGTTAATGATGATAATATATCAATACGAAAACAACCTATTTATCCATTTAAAACAAATTCATTTCGTTCAGTTAAATATAAACATAAAAATTTTAATAAAATTATGAATAGACAACAATATGAACAACAACAAATGAAATTAAATTATGAAAATGAAATGAATTTAAAACCAGAAATTAAATTGATTGATTCAAGACCAAGAACAAGATTATGTATTGAATCAGGCATAGAAACTCATGTGAGTTGATTGATTAATTGATTAATTAGTTACATTATGAAAATAAAATTATTATTTTCTGAGAAATTAAGACTTTTTTTGAAAGTATTGAGTATCAGGATTGTAGAGATTGTTAAGTTTTGATTGAGATTATGAATTGATCAATGTTAGAATACCTTTAAAAACATGGAACAATTGAATGGCTGTTTTGTCCCTTCAGTGCACATTCACGATTCTGCAACCAAGATTCAAACTAAGGACCTTTGGTCTCGTGCGTGAGTGATTAACTTTTAGACCACTGAGTTGACATCCAATAGTGGTGATGTCTAACTTCAATTGATCCATGATCCTGCACAACTCTTCATCCATTGTCTGAGGTGGATAAGTGTCTCACACTCGACATGAATTGGACTCTACTGATCACGGCTTCTCACTAGGACTCCGGGAAATCCATCTTGAAAGTAATTGAAAATTAAGGATAAAGTATTAATACACTTTTCTAGTCATCACAAGATAGCAGTGATCGAATATACTAGTAACCATTAGCTTATTTGTAAGTTGAATTAAGTTAATGGATGAATGACTGAAGTTTCATGACAAGCCTCATTTAAACGTGATGTTAACTTATTTATTTAATCAGTGCATAACTGAAACTCCTTATGTCTGATGATAATTAAACCATATAATAAATTTTGCATTCAATTTGAGGAAATCAATAGGTTAGGACTACAACTTAGGTGTAAGATCAACTTTAGATAATTATTGGATTCTGATTAAACTTCGCCAGAATCCTCCTTCGAGATCATATACACAATTAGAGAAGTTGTTTCTAAAGGAATACAAACTAAAAACTCGTATACAGCCGAGGCTCTAGCTATCCACTAATTCAAGACTAATCTTAGTGTACAAAGACAATATGCTCTTTCACTCTATCGTAGTCCCAACCTTCCTTTCTATTTTCTATAACCCACCGCCTTTTCCTACTCCTTTCTAATATATTAATTAACCATTATTACAACAGTCAATTATTCCATTCTTAAGATTTGTCAAGTGAGCAATTATCTTGATCTTAAAATGTTTCACTAACCATTGGATTATGGCATAACTTCCCTTCAATTTCTGATTTTCGCAAACGACACCATTTTAACTTTATAAAATTACTCAACACTATTCTGTTTTTCTGCAGTCAGTCATTCAATAACAACACAGAACTTCGTATGTATGTACATCAGTTCGAGTTGCCATACCACATTAGCACAGAGATGCAGTTGTCGATTCAAATCACATAGTGGTAGAGGTATAAAGCAGTAATCGAAAAGATTAGGGTTTGGAGATGTTATTCAAGGAGTATAATACAGCGAAATAAATTTAGAAAGAGAAAAAATGAAAGGGACATGAAGAACTTAGAAGATTAGAATTCGGGAGAACACAAAGAATGGATGCATCTGTGCCATTGCGAACGATTTTGAGCCATGTCATTCAAGGTCTGTAGCAATCGGTTGCTATCGTCCCGCGGATCCAAACCGGGTAGTCTGTAGACTATCTTTGGTAAACAATTTAACTATAAATACAATTTCAATAGTTGAAATCACGAGTTAATTGAAGCTAGACCACCATGGAATAGCTGGAAGCACTGGACGGCCGTTTCGTCCTAGCATGGCACTCCTCAGCAGTAATTGTATAAATAAAATTGTACAGTTTAAGTAAATGAAATCGTTAGTAAGAAAATTTTCATCACTGAATTTTCTCTATTATTTTAAATGGAAAAATGGGTCTTTTTCGTTATTTGATATAACACCTGTATGAATACCGGTTAATTACACGACAACATTATTTTTGTAAATTTTTAAAGAGATAAATGGGTTATTCCGAAATCTACTTGAAGCAACTCTATTTATTGACTACCATAAATAATTCTTAGTAAGTTCATTCAAAGCTTAGAATCCTCCTCCTAGAAAAGTTGAGATCTTCAGGAAAATCGAAATTTACATACATAACTCGTAAACACGGTAAAATGATAGACATCTTCTTCTAGTTAGCCTGCTTAAGGTAAGATGTTAGGTTGAAAAAAAATAAAAAAATATTTTACAATGTGTGGTGAATAACAATTGTGTTGAGTGGTTACTTCAAATGTATTTTGTAGACATTTTTCTAACAGGGATATTATTGATCATGTTATAAGGATAGTAAGACCTCATGATCTTGCAATTCACGCTTGACCGACTGATTAGGGAGGCGCACCATGTGAATGACCCAGTTTTTATTGATATTAGCAATAAAATATTTTACGGTCCCGGAAATTAGTAATTTTATACGATTTATATATATTCTTTGTTTTTATTCAATAATATACTTAATGGTTACCCGAGTTACAGTGAATTAAAAAAAGTATCACTCTTTACATTCGATGATAGACAGTTTAGCCTCCTATTAAATAGTATCATTTTACTTATTATTGTGATTTATAAACCGACAAGTCAAGAATGAATTCAAGAAAGATATTTCACATCAAACTACTCACACTTAAGTAAACACAAATCTTTAATAATACAATCGAATTCTTCAATATACTCACTGGATTCAAATCTTAGGGTATTAATTAAACGATATCCATGTAGTAGATATGTAATGGGATATAATGTATATTGTCATCGAAATTATGTAGTTTCTTGATTTAATGATGCTTTTTTAGTAATTGCAAAAGCACAGTTTTAGCTATTTGTCATAGAATTTAGCTTATCCCATTGACTAGATATTAATGAATGATGGAAATGCATGGCAAAAATAAATCGTCTATCCAAAATATCTATCTGTCTCAACAATGTTTATTTTTCTTTCATTAACTACTATATCTTTTAATTTATCACTTTACTTGTAGATCTTGATTACTGACGTGTTATAAAATAATGTTGTCTTTTTTAAAAAGATTGTAAAGGTCTCCACTGCATTAAAACATTCCTTTTCTCTTTATTTCAATTACATGACGTTGCAAAGCGACTCGACAGTTGCCATCACGCAAATTGTTAAGTCTCAAAGAGGCTATATAAGTTGCATGATTGACAGATGATTGTTATTTCATTAAATGCTAAAAAAAATATTATTTTCCCTCATAAGCCATATTTTTTTATTAGTTTTTATACACTGTTTACACTATGTGATGCTGTAGCGAACAAAAGACTTGATATGAAAACTAACTTATTCTTTAATGCAAATTACTCAGTGGCTCAGTAAAATATGAAAATCATACATTAATTACATAATTTTCACATCTTTGTATTTTCTTTTACATAATTCATTATTCTTCTAATTCTATTGTTATTTCAACCGCTCTCCGATTTCCTTTCACTTCACTTCATTTCAATCTTCTGCTACCAGGAATTCGACTTCCGACTGGTAGTACACACTACATATAACTGTCAGCATAATTAGCATACATCACAATGCCATCTCAGTCGTCCAGAAGCTGGACACTCGATTCAAGATACTAAGTTCCTTGGTTCAATTCTCATTAGGGTCGTGGATGCGTAGTCTTGAAGAGTCCCATACCAGGACGGTACATTTGTTCAATGGTTCCTGGACGTTACTAGTTATCTAACTTCGAATGGTTCATGGTCTCAATAACATTCAAAAATCTCCACAACCCCCCTCACGGTGATTATTATATAAATTTTTTTCTTTAAAAAATTGAATAAATACGAAACGACAACCAGGGTGAATTATAATATATTGATTATCTTCAGAGATTCTGGTTGACTGCCCATATGTTTTTACTGAGAAAGGAAGTAATATTCTATAACCAAAAATAATGTCTTTGAATAATTGAAATGATAAGGGTTTTCATCAATGTATATATATATATATATATGTCACGTGGTATCATAAGTTTATAAATCAGTTATTTGGGGTATATATCGTGGAATATTTCTATTTGAAATATTGATTGGCACTGACAAGATGTCTTCTCCTAATATATTGAGTTACATTTCAATAAAATCTAAGGGTGCATTCATTTAAAGATAATTCATGAAATATAAATTTATTTAACGATCTGCTTCGGTTGTTGTTTCTGGTAGAGTTTTGTTCTTTGGGCTGGATGTTTTGGTTGTGGAGCTTCGATTATTCTTCTGAACAACATCATGAGAACAAACTGTAGGTGAAAGTGGAGTTTTCAAATTTCTCCACATATGACCTACAGCTTGTTTTGTCAACCTCGATCTTGAATGGTTATTATTTGTCTTAAGTCTCTGTTATCTACTTCTTTATTTTGTGGATAGAACTCAACCAAAATCATCCGCTTGAATAATAAACCCTCTCCACCATCTTAGTTGTTATTCATTCTCGCTTTTTCCATTGATTCTTAATGGTGGAATGCTTGAGTCGATTTAAGCTATACCACCATTGAAAACCTGGAAGCACTAGACGGTCATTTCATCCTAGTATGGAACTCCTCTTCAATGCGCATGTACGATCCCTGACGTGGGACTCGAACCTGGGACCTTCAGTTTCATGCATGTACGCTAAACCTGTAACCCACTGAGCCGGCATCCAACAGTGTTAATGTCTAATTTAAATCGACTTATGAGCTTGCGCAATCATACTAAAACGAAATGTACATCCAGTGCTTCCAGGTTTTCAATGATAATCTAGCTTGGAACAATTCATGAATTCATTTATTAAAATGACCACCATCTCTACAAACCTCCATTCTGATAATAATCATTGGTTTTTCCTAGTTATGTTGAATTTAGCGATTATAATTTTTGTGGTTTATAAAATGTGTTAACTTAAAAACAATTTACTTTATGAAAGATTTGTACCATTTAATCTATCTGTCATATTATTTATCAAGAAATAAAAATCTTTAAAAGTAAACAAACAATAAAAGGGAGGTAAGAGTTAAACATTAAAATCATTAAGATTGTTCATATTACATTGATTTATTTACTGAAAAATTTCTATTTAAATAGTTACTCTACCAACAACAACAACAACAACAAAAATACCTTTCACTGTCAATTTATTTTCTTCGATCACATGTACATACAAACAATAATTCATAATAATAATAATAATAATAATAATTCCATACCCAATATTTACCATTCATATATTCGTATAAACTATCTTTTATAATTGATTTCAAACCATTTATCTTATTCAATTTATTTACTTGATGTTTTTTTTTGTTTATTTATTTATTGAAGAAGGTGAATTAATAGATAAATAGTTGCCTTCGAAACATAATAATAATTTATTATTATTATTAACAGTTCTGTGTCAATCCATAATGACTGATGGATTATTATTTTTCAATGTTTCTAACTTTTTTTTCTTCTTCTTCTCCTCAGTTTGACCAATATTTAGATTATTATACAATTCATAGTTAGTTTTAAACAAATTTATATATAAAGTAAGAACGAATCAAGTGAACAAACTACTTTCTAATTAGTTTTTCATCATGGCTCTACACTAATGATTTACAGTAATGAAATAATACTCATCGAGTGAATACGTTACGTAGTAACTATATAATCGATATGTCATTAAACGATTATTACGTGACGTATCCAATCGATGAGTATTATTTCATTACTATAAATCATATATATATATCCGTATTAAATTGAAGACAATTTAGGTGTATATCATGTGAATAACTCTATAATAATGTTCACTTTGATGAAATGTTTTGAATGCATCTTATGTTTCATATTATAAACAATTTTATCACAAATATTCAATCAAAATAATTTATGGATCATATCTTTTTAAATAATATACTCATATTTTTCTTAAATAGTTTCTTGTCTGCTTTTATACCACTCTTTAAATACAAATACAGTATGAATATTAACTATGTATTTAAATATTAAATAATGTAAATTTCTGAAAGTAGTTGTATAAAGCTTGTTGATATATTGATCAGAGAATTATATAAATAACTTAAAGGGTATATTAAATTCCTAAATTGATATAAGACTCAATTGAAAATAATTTCTTGTTGATTTAAAATAGATATCTACTGTGTGAGTACAGATTAGTTCAAATATAAATCTTATAGCTTTCTATCAGTCACTTTTAAACAATTTAAATGTTACATATATGTAATTGTATACGGTTTAGTGACCCGGGATCTGACTCCAAGTAGATCGCATGAATGATTTTTATTGAAATATATATGCTGACTATCCTCGTATATAATCATCGACTTAAATTGCATTAGTTGATAACGGAATTGAATAAGTTAAATAACGAGAATGGACTTTTAAACACATATATTTTGTATATGAAGCGAATGGAATAGAGCGAAGTGAAAAGACGCGCAGTAAATATGGCGTGTAAGCCAACTCCCTTTACTCAAGAATTAATCAATTTCTAATGATACACCAAAAATGTTTATTAATACACATAAGTTTTTCACTTTATCACTATCTGTTGAAATGATAATAAAACACCTACATTCTTTTTTCTTCTCGAATGTTAAAATTTAATTATATCACTGTATCCATTTGCTATGGTTGAAGCGATTACGAGTTCACCTGGTCTGCGAACGAAACAAAGAATCGGTGACCAAAGGCCAACAAGGTGGTTGTTCTGATGCGTTCCAGCCCCGCTAACTAGAGAGAGAAGTCGAAGTTCGATACGAGGAAATATATTCCGCAATCAGCTAGAAGCACGAGCAATCACGACCGTATGTCTCTACGAACAAGGGTGCTAAAGCAGTTTCACACTGGTCATCTTGGTGTAAAACAAATGAAATCCATCTCCAGAAGCTATGCATATTGGCCCCGCATGGACCAACATATCGTGGATTTAATAAACAAATGTACGCAGTGTCAGCAAGCGGCAAACTGTATCGCGAAAGTGCCGCCGATCCCATGGCTACAGCTTGAGTATTCCTGGTCTAGGATACATGTCGATTTTGCTGGTCGAATCAATGGAGCCACCTATCTAGTCGCGGTTGATGCCTTTTTGAAATGGCTAGAAATTGTTCCCATCATGCCACCAACGACTACCAAAACGATACAACTCTTGACGGAGATGTTCGCCCGCAACGGGTTACCGGACGTAATTGTATCAGAAAATGGTTCGCAGTTCACTTCAACTTAGTTCCAAGATTTTTTCCAACAACTATCCATCAAGCATTTCTTCTCTCCACCCTACCACCCACCATCAAACGGCCAAGTAGAAAGATTTGTGGATAGATTCAAGAGAGTTCTAATCAAGTTCGAAACAGTAAAATATATTCCACAAGCAGCCAGAAGCACGAGCGATCCCGATATAACACCATTATGATGTTGTTACTATAAATTATTTAATTTAGGTTAGATTGTGTCATCAATACAAACTATATTTGTTAGTTTAGTTCTAAAGAAATCATTTCTCTTACATAGAACTCTTTTCTTTTCTTTTTTTCTTAGACAAAAACAATGACACTTCAAAGAAATTTAATAACCGATGATAGTTTAAATAATAATGATTTAAATATGATCGGTTTTATTTCATTACCTAATCAAAAAATATCAACAAGAAAAATAATCAATAAATTATCAACATCACCATCAATGCCATTACCAAATGTAATCTCTACTGATCATTGTATATATAATGTTAATTTATCTGAAATAGATCATTATAGTGAACCATATAATAGTAGTAGTACATGTGAATCATTAATTGAATATAAACAAACAGATAAATTAATCATGGATAATCAAAATGATCCAGAATTAGCAGTGAAGCTTGATAGAATTGCTTATGAAATTGGATTATTACATCATCAGAGAAAAATGAAACGTAAAAGTTCACTATCTTCACAATGTAATGTTGATGGTAAGTTAAATATCCACTTATTTGCTTCTTGAATATATTTAAAGATGTATCTAGTTCATTTATTTTTTTTAAGACACTAGTGTGTTAGGATCTATTGATTTGTGAATTTATTTAGAGTTTTGTAGTTTACCGCATAAGTTGACCTTGTTTAAACTACCAAGAAGTACTGGGCAACTGTTTGGTCCTTGAGTAGGCGTCCAATGACCTCACTTAGGATAGGAATGCGAAACATTGGGTATCTTGATAGAGATTTGACGTTTAGACCATTAAATCGGTATCCAATGATTTTCATTTTTTACTTTAGTCAGTTCTCGATTTTCTGTGAATATCATTCATTGAAAATAATTAGTAGATCCTCCTGAAAGTTTCATTTGAAACTATTTTGATTTTTGTGTAGATTTTTTATAATTTGAAGATGATTTTCATGATAAAATGAAATCAGTTAAGAAAACTGTTGTAGACCAAAAATTATTTGAAATCTATTACATTCTGGTGTAGAACTCATTCCATAGTTAATCGAGAACAATTAAACTTTTATACCATTCAGTAATCATAATATCATTCATCTAACATTCTTCTAATTATGGAAATTATCAGTATGTTTCATTTGTATAGTTTTACTTGGTAGATTGAAGAGATCTGATTTTTTATAAGGAACAATTAGCTGAACAGTAAATATCAAATGTTCTTGCTTCCTGTGTATACATGTATGCTTTATTGAAATACATTCTAATTAGTTGCTATGATAGCTATTGTCAGTAAATGTATTTGACTTTCATGTGTATCATCTTTAACTTGACTTCATTTTGATGATTGATATTTTTAACTTACCAATTATCAATTTATACAACATTTTAAATCATTTTACAAGTTGTATAGGAAGATATAGACTTTATGTGTAAAAGTCGTATTATAATAGAAATTAGTAACTAAGTGTTTGTTTGGTTAAAATACATACGATTTTTAAAAAAATAAAATTTTTACTAAATAATGAAATGATTGTCTTTCATTTTTTAAAATAATATTTCCATTATACGAAACCTAAAATATATGGATTAAAATATTTTTGATTAAGATCATGAACCGATTGAGGTTAGGCCACCATTAAAAACCTGGAAGTACTGAAAAGTCGTTTCGTCTTATTGTGGAGCTCTTCAGCAAAGCGCATCCACGATCTTGCAAGCGGGATCTCCACAACCGTATACTGTTAAAATATTTTGTTTGACTAATCAAATGAACTTATAATAATAGACTGTGATACGAAAAAATATTTATCCTTCATTTATATTAAACTTATTTTAAAATGAATGCCAATAATTTACTTTTTAAATGATTTCATAGGTTTAATATCAATAAATAGTCCATGTTCAGAATCAAATTTACCTAAAGCTGATTTGGATCAAGTTTTAACATTGGAAATATCAACTATTGTTTCTAATCCAGCTTATGTTAGTTCATCTAAAAAGGATACAACAACAACAACTCTTCAAACAAATTCAACATCTTTAAATCATTCAAAAATTACCGATTCAAGACATAGAACTCATTTATCTCGAGTTGATTCATCTTTAACTAATAATAATCAAATCAAATCACAAAATCGACCAAATAGTACAGGTAGTCGAATTATTAAAGAATTTCTACGTCATATATCACCAAAATTAAGACGTAGTTTATCAAGAATTTCTAGTAGAAAAAAATGTGAAGATCAAAAACTAAATCAAGATAATCTTGATAATCTTCAACCTTCTTCTAATTCATTTGAACGTTGTAAATCAGAACGTATCCATCCAAAAAAATCACTTCTTCGATTTATTCCACGTTGTTCAAGTCGTTCAAAAGAACGTAAAAGGAAACAGATCTCAACTACAGAAGGTAGTGTGTTATTAATAAAATTATAAAATCTAATATTTTCTATATAATAATCGAGATTTTGTTAAGATATGGTTTGATGTTACAAAGCTTGATATATGTTTATGCTAATTCAATAAATTTTGTGAATGATTGTAACTTCGGTATTAGAAACTCTGTGAAAATCAACACTAGTATACAGATACAGTCAACTGACTATTAAAAAGAACGAAACGCATGTTCGAAACTCCACTGTTGACGGCAGTTCGTCTAATCAAAAACGATTTGCAGTTGTATCCGCTGAGTAGCTCTATTAATCTACTGGTATTGTAAGATTTAGTTTGATTTTAATAACCCCAAGTTTTTTTTTAAAATATTCCTTCTGTACTTCATAAATTCAGCTACAATTTCGATCTTGATTATTTTGTACTCATGGCCATCTAATCAGAACATCTCTAGAGTGAAACTGCAGCATTTTTGAAATATAATTGGCGAGACTTTAATTTATGGACGACCTTTGAACGACTCTTAAGTGACCTTGAGAAATATTAGCCAATCACAAAACAGTCAGTGCAGAGTAAAAATATATTATAAAAAACCAAGGAAATAAAGTGGATACACCTCTTATACGTGGGTCAAAAACTTATCAAGGTTAGAGAGAGGTTCCGAGGTTGTAAAATCGTAAAGCATGTGGTAGAGGAAATCATTCATACGCCTACAGAATAGTCAGCCTCTGGAGCCATGATAAAGTCTCAAGAACTCTTTCAGCCTCGACTACATAGTTCCAATATTGTTTATGTGTACTTCGGCTGTTAAGTACACAAAATGCTACTTGTGAATAACGACACGATGCATATAACCGAGCCTATGTAGGAGTCTGTACGCTCTCCAAACATCCCTGTATATTGTATTAGCTGGCTGCAACCACTATTACTGGTGTTTTTATTATCCAGTCCGCGATAGTTGTCGTAATTTGCCTTAGTTAGGGACTATATGCGGTTTTAATCACGAACTGACATCAGCTATAGTACCAGCAGTTTATTTAACCAAAAAGATGAAAGGTTTTCGCGTTAAAATCCAAGATCTATTATCTTATACCTGATTGATTCGTTCACAAATTATAGTCTCGCCGTTTTATTTGTTATAGCCGCTCAATTATCACGTTTTGTACAAAATTCGTTGTGAACCGATCGTACGTTAGCATTAAGCACTGAAGTTGGCGCTGCAACCTTGAAATCTCTAAATCACTTATAATTGGCTCGTCTATAAATTAGAGTCTCGCCATATAAGTGAAATTCCTTTTTTTAGAAGTTGGTTTACATAACAGAGTTTTTAGCTAAATCACCAGGTGACATTAAATAACTATTTCATCTTATAATAAAATTTCATCTTAGTAAATATCTAAGCACGTCGTTAGGAAAAAAAACTTAGAATTCACGCTATTTATAATGATCGTCTTGCGTTTTTATCATTAAATTTAGAAATCCTAGAATTTCTAGTCAGATTCTGAGTAAAAAAAAATCCTTCTGTCATAATGCAAAAACTTATTTCGTTGCATTCGAATACCGAAGTTTTTATTCCTCATTCCTAATTGATCTTGATCATATTCTAGGGGAAAAACACACAACTATACAACTGGTATGCAACACAGTTGATAAAACAAAGACAAAATAATGAAAATTTAAATACCAAAATAGACATATACAAATAATAGATTGTAATAAATATCAATTAAATAACTAGGGTGAATTCTATTTAAAAGTCGTAACATTATCATACTATATTATTTCAATGAATTAAATAAATAAATCTGTAAAACTATCATTTAGTCACAAAATATAAACAAGACTCAATGAAGAAATCTTCCTTTACCCAATATTAGTGTTTTGAAGGAGTATCATTTCAGATAATTATAACATTTACTCCAGTAACGGAAAATGAAATTCATATTTTATTATGAACAACAGTTAAAGTTTTAATAGTTGAATTCATAGGTTAATATAAGATAGACCAACATTGAAAATTTGGAAGCACTGAACGGTCATTTGGTCCTAGTGTAGGACTTCTCAACAGTGCTCTTGTACGATCCCTGACGCGGGACTTAAACCCTGGACCTTCAGTCTTGCGCGCATACATTTAGCCTCTAGACCACTGAGGCTACTAAGGTTAATAAGAATTAAGGGTTATTTAATATAAAAAGATATTTAAAGAAAATAGATGATCAAATACTAGCTTATTAAAATAATAAGTTGGAAAATACTAGGTTACTAAGGTGACTTGTTTAACAGGGTTGAACGAATTGAATGTAAACAAAAGTGAGAGTATAATGTGAGAAGATTAAAATATGAAACAACTTTTGGGTGTGTTAGGTTTCATTTCAATTTAACTAACTTCCTTTCTAAATATAGATTTCAAAGTTTAAAATATGAATTGAAGAGTTTTTAAAAGCTTGAAGGGACCTATCCTTCATGAAATTTGTATTTACTTCATAGTTTAGTTGCTTACTTCATTCACTGAATAATCTGGAACGATTCAAAGTTTCAAGATGTAGCTATGTGATATCTTAACTTCAAGTCCTTAAAAATAAACAAGTATTTGTTTACAATTGATTGATCACTGGGTGGTGATCAATGTCATGCTTGTCTAGTCCTTATTAGTGCAGATCGAATGCTATCGATCATGTTGCAATGTGGCCACCAGTCTAGGTGACTCGACACTGCGGGCACTATGTATTGAGATTTTAGATGGTGGTTGGAGGTAGTCAACAGGAAACCCTGGACCCGGGTTTCGAGTCCGCCAGGGAGCACCAGTTCCCTCAAGATTACAGGTACACCTTGCTGACGAGTACCAAGTAGCACGAAACCCGGGTCCAGGGTTTCCTGTTGACTACCTCCAACCACCATCTAAAAAGTATTTGTTTAGAATTGGTTTTAAAATGCTAACTCCGAGTACGTTGACTGATCTCAAAATGACTGAACACTCATGCATATTCAAAATTTTAAGGTGTATAGTGAGAAGTATTTGAACCTTATTAGTAAAAAAAAAAGAAAAATGTAAAATAAACGTTTTGCAAATAATATCTTTCTAGATATTAGCAGCAAATTGTTCTGTTAGAATCTCAGTCTCATGTTCTAGATATTCATTTTCAGTAAATTTTACTATTTTATAACTTACCATATTATTGATCTTTTAAATAATTATTTTTTTAATTAATGATCACTATTTCAATCTCATTTAGGTAATTCACAAATAATCACTAATATTGATTTATAACCTATTTAGTTTCCCAGGTATTGAAATAAATATTCTCTGATTTAGTGTTGAAGTTATTCTTATTTTTAATTCCTGGATGAATGAGTTCTGAATGCCGTTCAGTTTTTGAATGAATAAATGAAGAAATTTATGGTATTTTCATCTTGTGTATAAACATGTCTGTGAAATTTCATCATAAAACTGAAACTTTTCCAAGAAATTGTTCAATCTACTTGTTTCTGACAATGGTGTTAGCACTGTAAACTTTCAGTTTGTCTCACTAACAAAGTTAGTTGGCAAAATCTGACGTTTTGCAGGGCTTTTGAAAAATTTTTGTAGGAATTAACTTTATTGATCTGTCAGGTTAATTTCCACCAACGAGGAGTGGCCTTCTCACGTAACTTTTTTATGGATCAATATTTTTTAGCATAGAAGTAGGCTATGAAGTAGCGAAAACTCAGAAGAATAATGTGGAAAAACCGGTGGATAGGTTCATTTGCTCTCAGCAGAATTTAACTAGGTTGGCAAATATACCCTCGTTGTGGTCCCCGAAATGAAGATGTTCAGTTGTCAAAGACTTTAGGTGGTATTGTTAGAAGTTGGTTTTAGCCATGCAAATCCACATACTATTTACCTTTAACCAAAATTGTAGCACGATATTACCGTATAAACGTCTATTTTGTAATTTTAGTTAGTTCCTTCTAATCCCGTTTACGCGTTTTTGTCATATTAATTTTGTTCGATCCTCGATATTATTACACTGATTGCGTTGTCCGCATATTTCATAATAAGTCAGTCGCACGTTTGAAGGTATATGTCACTTTCCAGTCGCTCATATAGTAGAAGGATAGTTTCTAAGCTATCTGAAACGAATTAGGGTCAGAAGAGGTCTTCAAAACATGGGAGGATCACTACAGAGCTCAAAAGACAACTACTTTGGATCCATCGTTTTGTGAGAAACATTTCATGTGTTAGTTGTGAAATTTAAAAATCTTACTGTAGATAACTAAAATCTATAGAGTAAGATGAGGTAGGATACTTTTAGAGTCGACATTTTAACCTCCTTGCATTCTAGAAAAGTAGCACTATTGTTGTTACTGGTTGTATGAAGGAAACAACTCACTATTATCACATCTATGTACATTTAGCAGTATAGCTTCTCCCTCGAATCTTAAATTGGAGTTTTGCGTCCTACTATTTTTCACCTAAATTGTCCGGTACATTAGAATTAAAAAAAACAAATTTTCAAGACAATACAGCTCAATGGAGTCAGCACGATATAAAGCTTGATCATCATGTCAAGGTATCAGCTACGATTCAACTTAAACTGATCTATTAATATACCATATCTCTATTTATTTAAATCTCAATAACCGTTACAATACAATGAAGAAAAAAACTATTCATTCATTATTCTGAATTAACCTTTACTATAAATCAATCATAAATAATAAATAACCTGTTTACAATATTTGATTTAATCAATATTTACAACAAGATTTTCACTAGTTATTCTCAGTTTGAAACTAATAAACATGCTCTTTCTTGCAAAAAGGTAAGTGTGTGTTCTTCAAAATGTTTGTAAAAAAAAGTGCTTCTCAACAAATTTGTTTACATACTTATTTATTGATCGAAGGGAACCAAAAATAACAATGGTTGAACTAGCTTTTAATAAATAAAAAAAACATTGAGATAATGCACCATTTAACAAAATGGTTTTTAATTTTGTTTGGTTTCATTTTGTGTTCATATATAAACTTAAAATGAATTAA